TTTTTGTTTATTTAAAAATCTTCATTTGTGTTCTACTGAAGAAACAAAGTCACCTACATCTTGGATGCCCTGGGGGTCAGCAGATAAACATCAAATTTTCATTTTTGGGTGAACTATCCCTTTAAAGCCATAATCCTTCATTATTTTGACTTTTTATTTTTTTAAATCATGTTTAACAGTGGAATTCCTGATGAAAATCTACATTACCTATGATTCTGCAAGCAAATGCAAGCCAACCCACTCCCGTGTGTGTGTGTGTGTGTGTGTACTGTGTATATATAGTCTCTATCCTACATTTTTGTCTTCCTCAATGTTAATCCAAAAAATGTCCATTTCCTACTTCCATTTCCTCATGCCTTTAAAATCTGAAGTACACAATATACAGGTGCATCTCAATAAATTAGAATGTGTGTGTGTGTGTGTGTCCTGTGTATATATATATATATATATATATATATATATATATATATACACATATATATATATTTTTTTTTATATATATATATACTTTTTTGCTTCAAATCAAAATTTGTAATGTCATAATTAACCTTGTTAGTTTGGTTCATGGCTTATACATCTTTAACAACGTTTTTTTTTTTAAATCCCTATAGGAAAAACGAGTGGGTGAATTACTTCCGTAACCAAGGCTGCTGACAAATTGAGCAGGCACTGTTGAACTCTATATTGGTTTATATTAGCAAGCACTGGGTTTCACAAATGTTCTAAGCTGCCTGTTGTGGCAATGTCCACTACTGTTAAAAAGGGATTGGCTGAGCCAGACATGTTTGACTGTTCAAATTATGAAACAACATTTTGAAAGAGCCACAAAAGTCTTTATGTTACATTGTTCAGGAAGTCAATAGAGAAAGCATTTTAGCATAACACACTTGACGTTTAAGAACTACAAATTATTTCTCCCTGCTGATTGTGAACTGATACATATAAGTGATGAGGCATTGTTTAAATTTAAACCTGACTCATATTGTTTCTGACAATGGCAATAATTACCTAGTGCTCTATTTTCTGTATCTCCAAGTCATCAATTTTGCATGAGAGTTAGCATTAGTGCTAACAGGGTGCTATATGCATTGTCTTTGTGTTGAGAATAACCTTGCATGCACTAATATTAATACAGAGCAACTGAAGTGACAGGATTTTGCCCTTTGTACATGCTCCAATTAGAAAAAATACCTGACTGTGAAAATTATGAGCCTAAAGGGGAAAAGTACATGATATTATTGCTAAAATGCCTCTCATGCATAATTCAAGTAACAAGAGAAACTTTTACAAGACAATAAGAGACATAAAATGATTCAAGCATTGCACTGGTTTAAGCTACTGTTCTGTGAGAAGAATTATTACATTTGAGGTGATTTGTGTTAAAGGGTTAGTTCACCCAAAAATGAAAATTCTGTCATTAATTACTCACCTTCATGTCGTTTCAAACTCGTAAGACCTTCGTTCATCTTCGGAACACAAATTAAGATATTTTTGATGGAATCTGAGAGCTCTCAGACCCTGCATACCCTTACGAAAAAGAAGTTTATTTAAGTGTGCTATAAGTATACTTCTTTTAACAGAAAAATATGAAAGTATACTTTAGTCTACTTTTTATGTACTTCTCAGAAATATTCTTAAAATTACATTGAACTATATTTGAATTATACTTACAAAAAAGTCTAATTATATTTGAGCTATACTTTTGCTCCTAGAATCCGTGTTTTCATTGCTATATAGGGGGCACTAGTACACATCTTCTGTACAAAATTTCCCAAAAAAAACACAAGTGATGAAGAAACTGAAACAACAGATGCTTCCACATGTATTCTAACATGATCATCAGACATAAAACAGCATCAAAACTGTGTAACGTTATGGAATAAAATGTCGACCAATGAAGAGGTAATAATGACTGTCAAGGTTTGGGGTGTTGATCGACTCCATCTACGTTTTGATTATATCATTCTGAATCCAATTAATAGTCCTTTTTTCAGCTTTTTGTTCAAAATGTTGTTTATTAATTAATTTTTTATTTATGAAACTTACCCACATTCAAGTGTTTAAAAAAAGAATGCATGAATTAGAATAAAATGTTTTTGTTTACAAGCAGATACCGTTCTTTCTTTTGATGTTTTGTATGTTCAGATGTTCATATAACAAAAATATACAAATTAATACCTAAATAGGGACATAGTAGTATACTTAAAGTATGATGTAAAGTTCACTTAAAGAAAACTTACGAGTATACTTGCAGTATAAAACTACTTATCTAGTAGTTTACTGAGACTATTCTTCAAAGTGTACTACAAGTATTTCAACCGTAATTTTACGAAGCTACGAGAATAGTTTTTGTGCAACAACAAAAAAAACTACTTTATTCAACAATTCGTCTCCTCCGCATCACCCTGGTGCCATTTTGGAGAATATCCGCTGGACGTAAACAATGTATGCTGTTCTGTGTCAGCTGCGTCACACGGATACGCTGTTTCCTACGATGTTTGCGCTTTGATTTGAATGAAAACAACATATCCGTGTGACACAGCGGAGGAGACGAATTGTTGAATAAAGTCTGTATTTTTTTTTCTTTTGCGCACAAAAAGTATTCTCGTAGCTTCGTATAATTACGGTTGAACCCCTGATGCCACATGGATTATTTTACAGATCTCCTTGCTACGTTTCTGGACTTGGGAACATTTCAGTTGTATTGCTGTCTATGCAGAG